AGCTGGTCAACTACAGATGCTTTCAGTTTATTAGCGCAAAGTAACTTAAAAAATTCAGAGTTCAATTCAAAGTAAATAAACTCAGTCAATATATTTTGTTCAATTTTAGCATCCGTTAATTCCGGATAGCAATCAAAATTAATAAACGTTTATTCAAAAAGCCACATTTAAAAAGTAAGTTTCTAACAACTCCTATCTAAAACATCTGCACTTTATTATAAAACACCTTGTATGGGCACTCCTCGAGTCAAATACTTAAAAACATACTATTTAATACGATCATTTTAAAGAGTTTTAGTTAGAGCATGCACTTAGGTTTTCATCTGGTTCCGCAAATGATTAAATTAAAAACAGACGATTATACGAAAATTTTCAGCTTCAAATAATTTGACTAAAAGTGAACAGATACTCTATTCAACCCTGATATGAAATAGAACTTTAGGCAGCGGAAAGCTACTGAATACCGAGTCTTTTATTATTGGAAAATCCCTAGCCCGTAAACTGATCTAACATTTCGCACTTCAAAGTTATACAAGATAGACGTATAAGCAAACGTATAATTGATTAGTTTCCCATTCCATCAAATTTCCGCATAAATCGTAAAGGGTAAACTTTTCAGGCTCTGGCAAGCATAAATATACTTGGTCGGTTTCCAATGCTTTTAAACTTATTACGGAGACCTGTGTACTGAAATATATCGTGCTTTCCGTCACTTTACTAGAATGAAATAGATAATATTCACATTTATGTCAATATTTATTAAAGCTGATATTATTTCAAAATAAATAGTATATGCACTTAGAGAAGCAATCGATCTTTTAGAGTAAATGAGGACATTGAATTGCTTCATATAAGGACCTTAATCAATAGTTGATACCTATAATTTTCCAAGTTCTATATAATTTTCAGATATTTAGGTGAAGTTTCTAGTATGCAAATATTGTCTGTTACTTAATTCTTGAATTAGGTATAGTAATCAATGCTGTTTCTTATTCTACGTAAATTTGATTTACTAAATGGAAAGTTCATTTCATGGAAAATTGCTTCATACTGATAGATATCTAAAAGCGCGAGAATTCAAAATCCCAAATTGTTAGAAATTCATATAGTTTTCGTGTGAAAGTCACATAAATTTAAAGACATATACACAATTCATTCGCTGATTTTAAGTTGTATTAACTAATATTACCAGAATTTAAAACTCGTAATAAAACTACTTGCAATGTAACAGAAACATTCTCCAACGTCACGGAATATGTATTTCTTACGACTTAAAAGACATGTAGGTATTAAAACAATATTTTTCATGAGTTTGATGTGACCAGTTTTTTAAACAAAATGCAAAAATCACGAAATAAGAGCAGCCTTTGTATGCCTAAACTTCATTGTTTTGTCTTGGAAAAAATCCGTTTTCTGTCCTAACAGGAACTGAAACGAGTAAGTGTGGAGGCTAAACAACACGTTCATATTTTTTCGTTATAAAAATGAAAATAGTAGTCGATCTAGTTCAAATAAATCTTCAAAATTCAATATTTTTCAATATAAGACAGTAAAAGCGGTTGAGCTAGAGAAATAACTAAAACCGTAAACATTCACGCCGTTCATTTAAATAATTTTTTGAAAGTAGTTTGGAGTTATATAATTGTGCTTAATCTGAATTAAATTTTCTGTTTTCATTTTTTAATCCAGATTTAATCAAGAGTAAATCAATGTGCAAATAGGATTTTTTGATGAGATGTTACGGGCCAGCTACTGGCTCAGCGTAGTCAACGATTTACTCTATTAAACAAATACTCCTTCCTCCTTTAATTGTTGCAGTCATTTTACTGTCGATGGCATGCTGAACCCTTGGTGATTTGACAATCTTGAACAAACCATTTTCATTCAATAGTAGGCCTTACTCTGATTGTTTAAGGGCGAAGTTGCACGTCATTTAAACGTTATCAACCGTTTGCATTACCAAATGGCCTATACGAGGTCTGGCACAATATAATTAGACAAACTTTAATAACACACTGTTTCGCAATATAATAATAAAGGGCAATAAAACGGGTATATATTAAAGCTGTGGGACAAAATTACTAGGAGAACAAAATGGAATTGTGGAAAACCGGAATGCCTTGCTTTCCACTATGGAAAATTTAATTAGAAGGTCAATATTTCAGCTAAATGTGGTTTGGGTTTGTTTATTTAGGCAATCGTCGAACTCACCGGAAAGTGTTCGTTTGTGTTAATTAAAATACACTAACTGTTACGATAAGTTAAAATTTAAAAAGTTTTCATGTGCATGGATTTAGGTATAGCTGAAAGATTCATCTTCATGGAATATTATGTTCTTCCCGGCCTTACTGTTCTTAAAGCACCAATTTCAGTCGGCAACTATTCAAGTGCCTAACTTATTTAGGGCATAGCTTAAATATTTCCTAACATTTTACTGAATCATAGGACAAATCTGCTCTAGGACAAAATTTAGCTTACAAAATAAAATAAACGTAGTGTACAGGGTGTTTAAATACTGCTACGGTTTTTTCTGTGAAGGTTTAAATCTTTGTGCAGGTGAATATGAATAGCGGGTTATATTGTGTATTCCAGAGAGATATAAAGCATACGATTTCGGCTTTTTGCCTTCTGAGTAGTTAAGACCTTCAATCGTCTTTTTATCTTGCACCATTGAATAGATTTTCGTTTTTTATGGCTGGTCACATTTTTCGTCCCACTCAAATTAGAGAAATTTGCGGCGCACTGCATATATGCTAAATCAAGGACAAAATTCTACTATGGTGAAAAAATGAAGGAAATTAGGTAGATGCAAAAATGACATGGACATAGACTAACAGAATTTTTATTTTCCGACCGCTCAAAATCCACATATTCTGCAAAATGCTTTAACAAATTACAGCTTGAAGTTGCATGTCTTAACAGAAGGGTTTTTGAGCAAAACAATACTTAACACATGCAAGTTAGCGATTTATGGTCACTGATCCATTGTTGCACTCTAGAATTATTTGGTGACAATGAAAAAATTGCTAATAGGGTTGAGTATATTCAGTAAATTCAACAATCTAGCTAGAAAATATCCCCATCCAAATCAAGAATCCCTTGGTAAGGGAATGGGAATTGAGCAATCTGAATAAAAGAAAACAATTAATTTGCATTGTTCACAATATACTTCCCAAAATTGGAAGTTAAAGCCACGATAGGAATTCGTTAAATTTGCGCGTAGGCGAAAACCAAAGGACGACCCTGTGAATTTATCTCCTTAATTTTGCATAGTCGATTCGGCAAGCTTGAAGAGAATTATACGACAAGTTGCAAGAGCTCCCTTGAGGACCATGAATGCGGTCATTAGATTACCATTTCATGCGGTGTACCTAATCTTTGCTAATTTTAATTTACGGTGCCCTTATTTCGGTTATTTAAAAAGAAACAAGGGCCTTGCTTTTCCGGTTGACAATATTTCTCATTTTTTGATAATTTTTTTCTTTGTATTAAAACAGTTTTTAGATATTGTGATGTTTACGTTCTTTCAATGCTTATTTTACTCCTGTCGCTGGAAGTAATCTAAAAACGTCTTACCAGACAAAGTCTACATTGGCGATCATTTATGCTTTTTGAACATAACAAAATAAATTAAATTTAGAGCAACTGTTTAAGCTACATTATATCACGATAGTAAATATTTAGGCTGCATAATATCTACTTAAAGCCAGCGTATCTGAAAATTAATTTCTTTGTTTCCAGGAAATTAATTTCTTGATAAGGTTTTCTGTTTTTTTCTAAATCCTACATCCCCATATATAACATAAAAAAATCAATTCCGTTTGCAATCACCTTATTTAAACAATGATTAGTAGACACTTTCCTGGCTTTTATGGTTATCTTACTTATCGCATTTTTGTCCAATTTAATCCCATTTGATATATAGGTAAAGTACCTTAGCTGGACTTGAGCAACAAAAAACTTTTAAAACGCTATCCAATCATACCGTCCAATGAAACCAAAAATGTATAAACGCAATAATGATGCCTAATGTGTTACTGAAACCTCATCGATCAAGATGGTCAAGAAACTTTTTCCGTTAAGCTAAGAGAAATCAATGAGAATTTGCTGAACAAATGTCTTAAGGTAGTTGCAAAATGGAATGAGCGTTATTCATCCAATTATTATGACAAGATGTGTAATAAATCTTTTCTCGCAGAATAACGATCTGGACGAAGACCATATGATGCATGAAGGTAGCGTCGCATTAATAATTGTCAAAACGATTAAATTTCCAAATAAAATCGAGTGGATTTAATAACTCTTTGCTTTTCTCACGAGAATATTTATTTCAGTAACCAACCCTTCTTAGCAGGGTTTACAGTAGCTCAATATTGGCAGGTCTATGGAATGGAAACCCTGGA